ACTCAGTGGATATGAGTTCAGCAAGCTCCAAGAGATGGTGAAGGACAGGGAAGCCTGACTTGCTTCAGTCCATGGGGTGGCAAAGAATCAGACACGACTGAGCAACTGAACGACATGGGCTCTGATGACCCTCCTTCTCGTCTAAGTCCTTTGTGTTTTCCCATTTCTGCTGAATAAAAGCCTTACATTCTCCCACAGACCTTGAGGATGCTGATTCATTCATTTGTTCAACAAATGTTTACTGAATACCTACTCTGTTAAAGGCATTATTTTAGATTGTAAAAAGGGAAACTTGTAGCCTTTGTGGTTCTTGCATAAGGGAAGAACCTTGCATAGGAGAGAAATAAGTACATTTAAAAAAATTCACTTGATTTAAAAAACTGTAATATTAACATGGTTTACAATGTCTGCATCTATCAGTCATTTAAACTTTAAGTAAGATATAAACCTAAGCTGGTATGATGAGCAAGGTGAACTAAATAGGAAAGTAGTAAGGAATGGAATGGGGGAAGCTGATTTCCTGTGCTTTGTCTTATCCTTTTGCTTTCAAAATAGAAATGTTTGCTCAGCCTTCTCACTCTGTATAAAGAAGCAGGGTCTCTATAAGGGAACTTTATTCTTTCTCTTGGGCAAACAGGAGCAGGGGTGCTCTGAATGCCTGCATGTCTTCACAATAACAGAGGGGTGTGTGTGAAATGAGTTCTTTAAGAAAAATCAAATGGGTTGGGAAGATCTGCTGGAGAAGGGATAGGCTACCCACTCCAGTATTCTTGGGTTTCCCTGATGGCTCAGCTGGTAAAGGATCTGCCTGCAATGTGGGAGACCTGGGTTCGATCCCTGGGTTGGGAAGATGCCCTGGAGAAGGGAATGGCTACCCATTACAGTAATCTAGCCTGGAGAATTCCATGGACTGTATACTCCATGAGGTCGCAAAGAGTCAGACACGACTGAGTGACTTTCACTTTCATGGAAAAAAAGATGGAGACCCAGAGTAAAGGAGATAAAAGATTGGCCACATTTTGGTATATGTTGTATGTGCCAGTCTTATTTGGTGCAATTTCTACATCTCTTGGGCTTCCCTGATAGCTCATTTGGTAAATAATCTGCCTGCAATGCAGGAGACCCTGGTTCTATTCCTGGGTTGGGAAGATCCGCTGGAGAAGGGATAGGCTACCCACTCCAGTATTCTTGGGCTTCCCTGTGGCTCAGCTGGTAAAGAATCTGCCTGCAATGCGGGAGACCTGGGTTCAATCCCTAAGTTGGGAAGATCCCCTGGAGAAGGGAAAGGTTACCTACTCCAGTATTCTGGCCTGGAGAAATCCATGTATGATATAGTCCATGGGGTCGCAAATAGTTGGACATGACTGAGTGACTTTCACTTCACTCTGTATCTCTGTACAAAATAATATCAAGCTCACTTTTCTCCCAAACCCATGTTTTTAAATTTAAAGATAGCTTTTAAAAATCAATAGTGGTTACTTTGGAAGGTTCTTGACTGAGAAGAGAGCACAAGGGAGTGTTCTGGGTGATGGGAATATTCTGTCTGGATCTCGGTGCTTGTTAAACAGTTGGGTGTAGATGTAAAAAAGGTATCATGCTGTAACTTACGATTTGTATATTTTTACTGTGTTTAACATATACTTCAGTGAAAAAGAAAAAAAAACTAAGTAAAATGCAGGTCTGTGTTTTAGGCCTGCAGATGTGTGGTAAACTAGACATCATAAATTATAGGCTCTGTGGTCCATGAAAGAACTTAGATCTTTCCAATCGCTTCCCATTTGCTCAGATGGTGACATGATTTAGTAAAGTGGGGAGCTGTTAACTTGCCTCCTTGTTATTGACACCCATTGAGTTCCCATACAAAACCTATCTAGAAAGCGAAATAGAAAAACAAATAAGGAAGGAGGGAAATACACACACAGTTCTCAGCTGAAACTGAGATTCAGAGAATTTCATGCTCTTTGGGAATTTCACTCAGTGCGGCTTTTCCATGGTGTTAATAGTTTTGACCCCAAGAACTCTGTAGGATTGTTATAGCTGCCACAAAGCCAGAAATATCATGTTTGAAGCTTTTTTCCCTAAATAAATGTGAAAAGTTCATAAAAGAATCCAATTAAGCAAACCTATGATTAAGAATATTAAAATCGGGTTGCTTCCAACAGCAAACAAAATACCACTGATTCCCTTGTTGCATGTTTTAAAACTATTCATTTCTGCTATTAGTTTCTAATTTCTCAAAAGTAAACTTTTCAAATTCACAATGAAATTTCCAGGTTTTCATTCAACTAAACTATGCACATGCCCTCTGGTTATTTTTATATGATAGACATATTTTTGTTTGATGAAAATATTTCCTCTGTAAAAAATTTTTAAAAATAGATTCTTACTGTGTTAATAACAATTTTAAACCTACAGATCCTTTTGAAATTCCCCTCCCTTAATAAAGTGTCAATTTTTTTAAAATTTCTGATTACTAGAGATTTTCATTTTGATTCTTACTCTTCCTTTATGTTGAAGAGTTCATGGCATTGATCTCAATAAAATAAAACCTCAAAAAAAAACAAAGTCTTTATGCTAGGAAGAAATTTAAATATATTTAACTATATTTATATTGATATATGTAGATGAACTCCACAACTGACAAAATCATTTTTCCTGTCTAAAATGTTATTTTAACTTGGATATTTAGAACTCAGAACTATTGCTTTTCCTTTATATATGTGGTATTTGTGTTCTCAGAATAGCTCACAGAAGGTAGGTAATTTATTTAGCAATGAAGGTGAAATACTGTATGTTTGTGGCAAAATTTTAACAATAATAATATATTACTATATATAATATACTAATGTATACTATATATATTATACTATATAGTATAGTATATAGTATACTATATATTATATGGTATATAATATATACTATAATATAATATTACTATCATTATAGTAATAGCAAAACATTACTGAGTAAAACATAATTTAATAATTTTACCTTTCAGCTATTGTTTGAAGAAAGGCATGCTTAACACATAAAGTTGATCATCTTCAAATAGCCTATACTTGTCAATATAGATAACACAGAATGAATAAAGAGTTAAAAAACAAATAGTATGAATCATCCCGCCAACCAAAAATAACTACTCTTAATATAGTGCTGTGTTCACTTCTAATATTGAAAACATTTTACATGATTGGGAGTACACTGATCTGTTTTTGTATCTTGCTTTTCCCTGTCATTGTTATATTTTAATGATTTTGAAGATTGTCAGCATGGATTCTTTGTCTAATCTCACTTCAAATCCCAAATCTTTTCTTTCTTTAAAATAACTGGGCCACTCTTTTTTATTATTATTATTTTGTTTTGGATTGAATAGGTATAGCATAAAGCTGAGAAAGGAAAGAAAAGGGAACCAGGAAGGGAGAGCATGACAGAAAGGAAGAGTTTAGGTAACAGTGCAAGAATCAAAGGGGTCTATGGATAGAAGGGATATTTGAGAGAAAACGAACAGAAACTTGGAACAGTGAACTTCAGAATAACATGGATTCTAGCATTATAGCTAAGTGGCAATAAGCATCATTTGATTCTACTTCATCATTTGATAGTGAAGTGAAAGTCACTCAGTTGTGTCCAACTCTTTGTGACCTCATGGCCTATACAATCCATGGAATTTTCTAGGCCAGAATATTGGAGTGGGTAGCCTTTCCCTTCTCCAGGGGACCTTCCCAACCCAGGGATCAAAGCCAGGTCTCCCGCATTGCAGGTGGATTCTTAAGGATGCATGTTTATCAAGTTTAATGTCTTGCTTTGGGGACAGAGACAGTCGGAGGCAGTTCTTGAAAGGGAATACAGATCTGCTGATTCTCAACCTTCATTTCCTTCTTTTAATCTCTGAGGTATAAAAAAACTGAAGAGCAAGAGGTATGCAGCATTTCCTCGAGGACTGAGAAAAGAAATAGTGGAAAAGAGATGGTGAATTAATTGATATCCTGATAAAAGACTTGATCAGAGGTGGCTGGAGCTTAGAAAATTAAGGAAAGGGAAACACAGTAGTCCCTCAAGGATGCAGAGAAGTGAAGACTATGTACAAGTTATGATCCTCAAATGGCTTTTTAGATCCAGAATTACCTGCTCCAGATTTGTGAAAATTCTAGAATGAATGCTACAATATACAATTGACCTGTCCATGTAGTTAGCAAATGAAAAGATAGTGAAGTATTTGCCCATTTGATGGAAGGAGAGCCAATACTTGCCACAACCAATTATGCTTATTACATCATTTTTTGTCCTTGAAGCAAAGCCCACCTGTCCAACTTCAAAGCATGATAAATTTTACATCTTTTGGACATCAGTGTGCATAAAAGCCCACTTTCCTGTTACATTATTTCTCAATGCTCTTCTTTCTTTATTTATTTAATCACTTACATTATGTATTTATTTATTTTTGTAACTTTAAACTTTTAGTATTGTAATTGGGGTATAGCCTATTAACAATGTTGTGGTAGTTTCAGGTGAAGAGCAAAGGGACTCAGCCATACATATACATTTAGCCATTCTCTCCCAAACCCCCGTCCCATCCAGGCTGGCACATAATATTGAGCAGAGTTCTGTGTGCTATATAATAGGTCTTTGTTGGTTATCCATTTTTAATACAGCAGTGTGTACATGACCTTCACAAAATCCCTAACTATCCCTTGCCCCCAGAAACCTCTTCTTGATTCTAGAATAAACTTGAGACCAGTGCTACTGGGGAGGTGACAGTCAGACTGGAAGATGGGAAATGGAGAGTAAAAGGTTACAGCAAAATTCTACAGTATTTAAAAAAGTTACCAATGGCTACTGCTCATTTGAAAATTAGAAAACATTGTCCTTAGTGAGAGCTGAGAGTTCATCCTCTGTATCAGTGTCACTCTGCTTAATACCAAATATATTTTTGGTTTGCTTCTCAAGAATCAGATCTCACAAATTAAAAACTTGTTTTCAATTTTCTTTTCTTTGGTAAGGCTCACCTTGACCTTATCCTGTCCCATGGACTTGAAGAATTTTCCAATGGATGTCCAGACTTGTACAATGCAGCTGGAGAGTTGTAAGTCACTACTACTGAAATAACCACCTGCTTGTTTTAAGCAATGACCTGGTTCTTCTCAGTGTGTTGTTAAGGAGGAAAAAAAAACCCCATAAGAGTCCATCTATACTTATTTAACAACTCCCAAGGTCCTAAGGGACGGACAAGTAAAAGTGTGTGTGCATGTCTTATACCCAAGAGCACAAAGACCATTTTTCAAAGTAAAAAGCCAAATAACTTGCCCTTCATCAAAAAACAAGCCTGATTCAGTAAGCTTTTCTTTGAAATGAAAATGTCTCCTGGGAAAATTAAGATTATTAGTCATTTAACCTCTATAATGAATCGCTCTCTAGTCAGAAAATTGTATTTCCTTCTGTCTTGTGCTTGTATAGACCTTCACTCCAAAGGAATTTTAGCAGGAAGGGATAATTGATTTGAGGACAAGATACAGGGGCCTTAGAAGAGGATGTAAAAATGAGGGGCATTGAGATGACATGGAATAAAGGGATGTCCCTTAGATCCACGGACATACAAAGACAAGGTGAAGGAACTAGAGAAATGCTACTACTCTGTGCCCTTTATGTCCTGGCTCTGATGCCACTGAAATCTTTATATGTGCCATAAGTTGCTGATGCCTCCAAGGTAATGGAATTTTCAGTCAGCAGACATGAAATTTTTTTCTGGCTTGCTCTGTCAGTCACTCTGTTTGTAAAATGCACAGAAGAATAAGTGCTACTGACCTACAGGGATGTTAGGAGATTTAATGAGGCAGGGGCAAGAAAATACTTTTAACTTATTGGTTTAGAAAAATAATAAATGCAAAAAGACACATCAACTATTATTTAAAAAGAGGCGGTGACAGGGATTTCTTCTGATCATTTAAAATCATTGTAGATTTCCCTTGAAACTTCCTACAAAAATAAACAAAATAATGAAACATCTTTGTTTGAAGAGGTTGTCAGAGATAAAATGAGAATTTCTGATTTACAATAGGCTTTATGTATTCATTTTTTTCTGCCTTGCCCCTTCTCTTCAGAACATAGTTAAGAAAAACTTTTTCTTATGTAATGATTCCTTCTTTGTGTCTTCTCTACTGCTCCAAACTCTCCCCTGCCTCAACCTATTACTTAGTTTTTCTATAAAGCAGCAACCATAGCTCTCATCTGAGGTTCCTCCAAGGCTTAGTCATGTCCGACTCTTTGCAACCCCATGGACTATACAGTCCATGGAATTCTCCAGGCCAGAATACTGGAGTGGGTAGCCATTCCTTTCTCCAGGGGATCTTACCAACCAAGGGATCATACCCAGGTCTCCCACATTGCAGGCAGATTCTTTACCAGCTGAGCCACTAAGGAAGCCCCCTTCAAGGCTTAAAAACTCCAATTAGTAAATATGCTTGGTGCTTTCAGGATCTAGAAGTAATGAAATCAAAGAGGCAGTGATGTGTTTACCACTAACTTTGACTGTGAAGGGTGGGAAGTGTCCTTTACTTTTCTACCCTCATATTCTACCCTCCTTCCCCACATTTTTTCCTCTTCTATTTGATGGACCCCAAGCTTCAGCTTCCAAGTGGCTGACAAGGACTATTACTGTAGCGGTCAGCAAGAAAAGGGTGCTTGGCAAGCCTCTAGTATTTGATGAAGATATCCAAGAAGTGCTCATACAGCACTGATGTGGAAGAGACAGGGTTGACCACTCGCTTTGTGGACCATCAATGCTTGTACAAAGCCCTCTTTGTGACTCCTTGTTTTTAATTTCTAGCTTTGAATGGAAAAGGTGGTCCAAAGAAAGAGGAAAGTAGATTCCAATTAATTTTGCAATTGATTTCTGGGTAGCTTTGGTGAGTCATTACCTTTCAGTAAACAAGAATAAGAATCTGTAACCTTAATAAACATGCTGAGGTTGCTGGCTAGCCAAAACCTCACATAATAACCCTTGTCAGCATCACTCTCCTTTTAGAGTTCATATCACAAATAAAGGAAGAGGTGAGAGAACTGATGCCTGAAAAAAGAGTAGCCTTCACTTCCAGGGTGCAAAAAGATTCAGAAGTACTTGACATAACAACCTAGTTAGCCGGAGCTTGGAGACTAAGAGCTGACTTTGGTTTACTAAACTAATAATAATCTTACTTCGAATGGTTCAAAAGTCATGTAACAATATGACTATATAACAGAGAATCTGTTTTACTTCATATTCAGCATTGTAATGAGTAGGCCCCTTTAGCAAGAAACTAGCACAAATGAATATGCTTAATTTGCATATTCTACAACTTTCTCTTAGGTTACCTACCTACAGCCCTTTCCACTTGCTAAAGTAATTGAGGATTGAAATAAGGACTTGAACATAAACTTTCTGAAAACAAAGGTAATAGACCCAAAGAGAGGAGCCAAGTTTGTAATGGAAATATTTTAAGCAGGGCTGTGATGAATCCATCCTCATTAAAAAAAAAAATGCTTTTCATTTGAAATACTAAGACTGGTGCCATGAATTGCATTGTTTTATTGGATATCCACAGACACAGCTCTTTCAAGTAAAGACAATCTTCAAAGCATTTCTGTTTGTTTACTTGTTTGTTCTTCAGAAGATTTAGTGGATAAAGAAGGCAGAGGCAAAATGGACTTTATAGATTCTATTCTCTCGTTATACAGAAAAAAATCATTCAGAAATAGCTTGTTGTTTTCAATTTCTTTGGCTCCAGTGACATGTAGTTGTCATGATGATCACAGCTCTTTTATTAAAAAATGCTCTTGAATTGGCTGACCATGTCTGCTTTAGATGACCCCCTTGATTGTTTCTTTACCTGGCTAGACTTTCAAGCTTTCTTGGAAAGATGCATTCAATTTTTCACTATGATTCATTTGTTCCAGTTGGATACACAATGAATGACCTGATATTTGAGTGGTTAAGTGATGGTCCAGTTCAAGTTGCTGAAGGATTGACCCTGCCTCAGTTTATTTTGAAAGAAGAGAAGGAACTCGGCTACTGCACAAAGCACTACAACACTGGTAAGTTTCCTTTCAGCCGCTAAACTCAAATGGGCTCCATCTGCAGCTTGGTGTATATATATCTTATCACCTTATTTTCTGCATATTGATCAAGAAAGTGGAGCTACAAAGAACTGTTCTGGGCTTGGCTCAAAATTCCTTCAACACATAAGATGCCTATACCCCTTGGAATGGGTCAGAGAGCACGACAGTTAATTTTTCCAAAAGAGAGAGAGAAGGAAAGAGATTTGGGAATCTTGTGCTATTCTCTCGCTGACCATCTACTATCAAATGACTTTGAGGAAAGATGTATGAGACCTCGTAAGTGGTACAAGAAATGTATAAATTTTGGCCCATTCCCAGCATCCACTCTTGACACTGGCTCCTCAGATCAATCTGCACTTTCAGGACTTCCATGGGCCGGTGGTTAAGAATTCACTTGCAATGCAGGGGTCAAGGGTTTGGTCCCTGGTCAGGGAACTAAGATCCCACATGCTGTGGAGCAGCTAAGCCTGTGCGCCACAACTACTGAGCCTGTGTGATCTGGAACCTGTGTGTCACAACAAGAGACCATGCACCACAACAAAAGATCCCACGTGACACAACGAAGATCCTGCATGCCACAATTAAGACCTGAGGCAGCCAAATAAATTAACAAACCAATTTTAAACTTGCACTCTGCCTTAGTGGAAGAGAGAAATAAAAGGTCTTTGCAAACCCAGAAATACAGCTGTTGCACTCTCCAGTCCTAAAGAGCATGCATGAAAATCAGTTGGTGGGAAGTCAGCTGGCTCTAGAGTCATGCGCTATCACTAGTGCTGACAGACACATGGTGCAAGGCGAGACTCTGAGGTAGTAGCAACAAGTGGGCATTGTTACCAGGAAGATTACGCCCGCCTGGTAAAGTCGCTGGCTTTTCCTGTGAATGTCCTGGTCTTTCATATCACACAAGCTGACCAAGGAGAAGCAATTGAGACATGATAGTTTGTTCAGTGACTGCTCAAGGAGTCACTGTTGAGTAAATGGTCCATGAACATTTGTTTTAGAAGTCAACAATGCTTTCTATTAAATAACTAAAATCTGATTGTAAGGTCTTCTTCCTGAGCAAGAAGAACCCAACCCTATCTCTTATCATTTGTGTGAGCTAAGCCAAATTACCTTCTGGGCTTCTAATGCCAAGCCAGTTAAAAAGGAAGGGAAGTGGTAAGGGGCAGGAACATCTGTCTCTTAATAGTATGTTAAAAATCGTAATGTCTTTACATGTACTCTATTTTAGAGGCAATGCAACACTGTAAACAGATTCTAGGTATATTCTAAATGTCCTCAAGTAATTACCCAGGAGATTATGAAATTTTTACAATGATCAGATTATATTCACAGCTTCTAAAAATGTCTATTTTTCTCTTGCTACTGCAAACATGAAGATAGATATACAATTAACCAAATCCTTTAGGAGCCTCACATGAACTTCATTGCTTAGGAAGGCAAGGTTTCAAATATTTCATATTATATGTTACGTATTAAATGCTATATAGTGTGTGCTACACATATACGCTGTAGGTTACATGTTGTATGCTATATATTACATACTATAACTCCCACAAAACTGAATAGTTTCTTTCCACTGAACAGTCTAGAAAATTCTGAAGCTCTGTCTAAATAATCACACTGCAACAAGCACAGATTTTAAAATTAAATATGCCACATGGTTTTGGGCCAGTGACTCTTTAGATCACTCATTCTCACATTGTCATTTTCATTACTGGTTGAGTTGGAAAACAGTTGAATTGGGTATGTAGGGTCAGTGTTTTGTGCAATCTTTCAAATCCATCTTTAATGTTCTTTTTTAATAAAGTGGGGGGATGGAACAGGAAAGATAATTTCAAATTGGCTTTTAAATAATCATTTCCTGTTTCCAGGAAAGTTTACCTGCATTGAGGTTAAGTTTCACCTGGAACGCCAGATGGGATATTATTTGATCCAGATGTACATCCCCAGTTTGTTGATAGTCATTCTGTCCTGGGTCTCTTTTTGGATAAACATGGATGCAGCCCCTGCCAGAGTTGCACTGGGCATAACGACAGTCTTAACAATGACCACCCAGAGTTCAGGCTCCAGGGCATCTCTGCCAAAGGTAAGAGATCTCCTCACTTGACAACAAGTGACCTGAGAGGTTTGTCAAAGGTCTTACGGGCTGGAGAATTCTGTGAAGACAGAAATGTTTGCTTCTGTGCGGCACTGCAGGAGATGCAAATGCAGTAAGAGAATTGGAAAGCTGAGTTGGAGAGCATTAGAGCTCTTAGAACAAGGGGGAATCTTTGTAATCAGATTAATTAGGGGAAAGGGGATTCAGGGTTGAGAGAGAAGAGGGATGAGTGGAGGCAGAAACATGGCTCTGGAATTCTCAGAAGCCCTTGAGTACTTTTGACCTCATGTTGTTTATGAGGCATGAAGCTTGCAGGAATTGGAGTAAGATTGATACAACTTATGTTGCATTGTCAAGTATTTATTGGGGAGGCTATTGTGATTCATATACTCAGTGAAGTCATTTACTGTAATAAAAGATTGAATTTGTTCTTGTTTAGTCGCTGAGTTGTGTCCGACTTTTTTGTGAACCCATGGACTGTAATTAAGCTACTGCAAATTTACACAGAAAAGCCATATGCAATGAGTGTACATGGGAAATGAACGTGCAGTATTAGGGTGTAGAAAATTGGATATGTTTGTTTGCTATGCCTTAATTTACCTTAATGGCTAATAAAATTACTATTTTGAGTGACATAGTTACCTAGAGAATAACAGTGGAGTCACTGAGGATGGTAAAAATTCTGGCAACTGTGGCAGGTTCACAAAGAAGTATGGAGTGGATATTGGGGGCAAAAAGACATTTTGAAGTACCTTGAATAACAAATCATAATGGTTGCATAATCTATTTTTATGTAAGAGTGGCTGTCTGCATTTGTCAATATTGCTCAGGAAAATAATGATAAACATCCTGCTTGTGAAATGCCCCAGCACCTCAGAATGTTCCTATGTATATTTCCCCCTTTCACTGAGTTCACTGAGTCATTAGCCTCAACTTCCCAGGACTGTGAGTTCAATTTACTATTCAGTATGCACTGTCTCATACTGGTTTAGCACTTACTACAAAACCCAGTTCCAGAAAGTAACTGAGATGTAATCCTCTATTTTTGCTAGCTTGGGCTTATGTTTAGTTGTGCTGCAACTGACATGATAAGAAATGTTATGTCATGTTCCACATTATCGCCTGTGTTGGAGGATAAGATGACATATGGAAGAGTTCTGTGGCTTTAATGGAGTTTGGTTGAATAGTGGGAAAATACTTATACTAATTTTTCAAGTTTCATGCCTCCAAAGATAAATATTAGATATTGTATGCTAATAGAGAAAGGAATAGATCTGTCTCTGATACTTTTTTACTTTATAGGATAACAAATAGCACAAAACACCTATATCATATTTCTATTGGAATACAGATGTCAGAAATGGTAACAGCTTTTTTTCTCAGCTATATAATCACATATCAATACTGCCTAACAGAAATTTTAATCCACTCTGTGCCTCCTCCCAAACACGTTCATTTGTTTATTTCCCATTATTTATTAGTTATTGCCATCACTGTATGCCATGCCATTTAACCTTAGGACACACAAATATATTGTACAATTTAATAGATAGTTAAAGTATTGGTGGTACACTGCAAACAGATAATGTCAAAACATAAGATATTTAGCCTCCAACAACTCATTGATACAAAAAGAATAGTCATTTATTTCAAAATGGGAGCTTGAGATTTTATAAATTTGTTATTCATTCTTATTAGCCATTGTGATTTTACATCATGGTCAGAACTATTGCGAAAAAGGAGATTAATCAAGATGGTAGAGTAGGAGGACATGGAAGTCACCTCTTGCCATGAATACATCAAAAATACATTTGCATGTGGAACAATACTCATTGAAAACTAACTGGAAACTAGCAGAAAGACTTGTACAAGCAAGGCTGTAAGAAAGATACATATGGAATCGAGTAGGAAGGGGAGAAAAACAACCAAGTCAGGACCCGTGACCCTGGAAGGGCTCTCAGGGGAAAAGAGAGATTAGATGAACAAACACCAGCTTTGGGGAGTGAGCAGTGAAAACCACAGACTGGATGCCCCAGTCCTGGGGTCATGCACAGTAGACGAGCCCCTCTTGGCTGCTTGGAGGACACTGGGACTAACGGGAGGTCTGTGGGAAGCCTGGTCTCTGCTCCTGAGGAATGCTGGTGCACCGGCTTGCCCCTGGGGCAGGGCAGAGAAGATGGTTAGAGGACTGCTCCAGGGGCAATCAAGTTTCCCACAACTGCCTTGGTGTTTGCTCCAGCAAAGCTTACTACATGTCAGAGTGTGGTGTGGGATCTAGGGCTGCCACAGCGGGGGAAAAAGCACAGCCCTGGGATACAGAGATGACCTAGTCCCGGGGCAAAGTCTGCGTGAGGCATCAGTAACTATTGTTGGCACATACTCAAGCATCATATCAGAAGCAGCCCTGAACTCTGAGGGCGGCTACTCCACCACAGCTAACCCCGATACACAAACAGTCCACACTGGCCCCTCCCACCCTGCAGTGCAGCTCCACGAAAGGGCAGCCGTGTCCCAGACTGGGGGAAGTGGTCAGCAGTGAGGGACAAGTGGAACTTGGACCTGAGGCTGCATCTAAGCAGATAGAGAGAAATAATCGCTGGCACCTGCACAGGCAGCACATTAGAAACAACTCAGACTTCTGTCTGTGGCAAAAATGAGCTGCGAGGGCCCACATGGGCTTCCCTTCTTCAGCAATTCCCACCTCTGGGGCAAAAGTCCCAGTGCTGGGAAAGGGGAAGGCAGACACCTAAAGGGAACGGAGCCAGCTCAGGTCCAACCCACAGGGCTTCTACTCCAGCCACGTGGAGGGCAGTGATGGCCACTGAGTGGAAGGAAAGTCCCAACCCACACCTAACTACAGCTCTAGCCCCTCCGCCTCCAGCCTCATATCAACGTAATAGCTACCAGCACAACGTGAGGAAAGACCTCACGTATGTCCACGTCAAATCTGCTCTCTCTCCAAAGGCATTAGGCATACACAGTCTGCATAGGGATGCTTCCATATATGAACACCTCTTCCAGACTGGAATAGATAACTGTTTCATTTAAATTCATAGAGGCAAAGAAAGTTAAGGAAACTAATAAAGCAAAGGAACTACTCTTAATTGAAACAGTAAGAAAAAAACCACTGAAAATACATAATTCAGGTCGGGCCAGTTCAGTTCAGTCGCTCAGTCATGTCCGAGTCTTTGTGACGCCATGGACTGCAGCACACCAGACCTCCCTGTCCATCACCAACTCCCGGAGCTTACTCAAACTCATGCGCATTGAGTCTGTGATGCCATCCAGCTATCTCATCCTCCATCGTCCCCTTCTCCTCCCACCTCCAATCTTTCCCAGTATCAGGGCCTTTTCAAATGAGTCAGTTCTTTTTTTTTATTTAAAAAAATTTTTTTCCATTTATTTTTATTAGTTGGAGGCTAATTACTTTACAATATTGTAGTGGTTTTCGCCATTGTTTCATGTCAAATGAGTCAGTTCTTCGCATCAGGTGGCCAAAGTATTGGGAGTTTCAGCTTCAACACCAGTCCTTCCAATGTATATTCATGACTGACTTCCTTTCGGATAGACTGGATGGATCTGCTTGCAGTCAAGGGACTCTTAAGAGTCTTCTCCAACACCACAGTTCAAAAGTATCAATTCTTTGGCGGTCAGCTTTCTTTATAGTCCAACTCTCACATCCATACATGACCACTGGAAAAACCATAGCCTTGACTAGATGGACCTTTGTTGACAAAGTAATGTCTCTGCTTTTTAATATGCTGTCTAGGTTGGTCATAACTTTTCTTCCAAGGACCAAGCATCTTTTAATTTCATGGCTGCAGTCACCATCTGCAGTGATTTGGGAGCCCCCCAAAAATAAAATCTGTCACTGTTTCCACTGTGTTTCCCATCTATTTGCCATGAAGTGATGGGACCAGATGCCATGATCTTAGTTTTCTGAATGCTGAGTTTTAAGCCAACTTCTTCACTCTCCTCTTTCGCTTTCATCAAGAGGCTCTTTAGTTCTTCACTTTGTGCCATAAGGGTGGTGTCACCTGCGTATCTGAGGTTATTGATGTTTCTCCCAGCAATCTTGATTCCGGCTTGTGCTTCATCCAGCCAAGCATTTCTCATGATGTACTCTGCATATAAATAAGCAGGTTAAATAAGCAGGGTGGTGATATACAGCCTTGACCTACTCCTTTCCTGATTTGGAACCGGTGTGTTCTTCCATGTCCAGCTCTAACTGTTGCTTCCTGACCTGAATACAGATTTCTCAGGAGGCAGGTCAGGTGGTCTGGTATTCCCATCACTTTAAGAATTTTCCACAGTTTGTTGTGATCCACACAGCCAAAGGCTTTGGCATAGTCCATAAAGCAGACGTAGATGTTTTTCTGGAACTCTCATGTTTTTTCCATAATCCAACAGATGTTGGCAATTTGATCTCTGGTTCCTCTGCCTTTTCTAAAACCAGCTTGAACATCTGGAAGTTCATGGTTCACGTACTTTTGAAGCCTGGCTGGAGAATTTTAAGCATTATTTTACTAGCATGTGAGATGAGTTCAATTGTGTGGTAGTTTGAACATTCTTTGGCATTGCCTTTCTTTGACATTGGAATGAAAACTGACCTTTTTCAGTCCTGTGGCCACTGCTGTGTTTTCCAAATTTGCTGGCATATTGAGTGCAGCACTTTCACAGCATCAGCTTTTAGGATTTGAAATGGCTCAACTGGAATTCCATCACCTCCACTAGCTTTGTTTGTAGTGATGCTTCCTAAGGCCCACTTGACTTTGCATTCCAGGATGTCTGGCTCTAGGTGAGTGATCATACATCATGATTATCTGGGTCATGAAGATCTTTTTTGTATAGTTCTTCTGTGTATTCTTGCCACCTCTTCTTAATATCTTCTGCTTCTGTTAGGTCCATACCATTTCTTTCCTTTATTGTGCCCATCTTTGCATGAAATGTTCCCTTGGTATCTCTTATTTTCTTGAAGAGATCTCTAG